AGAAATAAAGGCAAAAAGCATTCCAAGCATAGAAAATAATACTGGCAAAGATACGAATGTGTCTTGCACACACAGTTCATGTTCTTGGAATGGCTAGCAACTGAATTTACTGTTGAGACATGCTCATGTGTCATTAGGTTACACAGTGTAGTGTGAGGTTAGGTTAAAAAGATAAGTTTGTTCTGGATCTCAGCTGTCCTAGAATGCTGGAATAGGACATCTGGGCTTTTATTAAGAAGGAGCCACTATAGGTTTTTGTGCAGAGGTTGACTTGGGAGCCTGGTTTTTCAGAAGACTGTTGTAGCAGCATGGTATAAGCTGGACCAGAGGTGAGGGACCAAATGGAAGGCTGTTGCATCAGTTTTCATAAGCACCAACAAGAACCTAAACAGGGTAGTGGCAGTAAGAACAGAAATGAAGAAACAGATGGAAGATTTGCTTTGAAAGAAATTATTGTGCAGCACAGTAGCCATTCTGCATATCATTAAATACATGTGAAGTTAATTTTGTAACTTCCTTTGGCACTAATGGTTTCCTCTCTTCAGGTATGCAGAGCCTTCATAATTTATTGGTCATATGTTCACATTTTTTAATTAAGAGTTATAATTTCTATGAGGGAGAGACTATGACTTTTATTCTCTACTCTTCCACAACATTCATCAGAATAGGTACTGGCTGAATGTTTCATGAGCTTTCATGAAAGCTGCCCCTACACACATTCAGGTTCTCTTCACTCTTGCCCTCTACTCTGCCCTCGCATCTCATCCTCCTACCAAATATTTCCCTCCCTCTCACCTCCTTAAATTTGATCTGGGAGAACTTGCCTCACAGGAGTAATCAGATTTTAAGTAGTTTGCATTCAGTGACTTTTTTTTCCAATCCTGCCTTCAACCAAGCTCAATTGATTCTTTCTTTACTATTTTTTAATGTTATCTCAGACATATCCAATAACGTTCCAGTTAGGTAAAATATTGAAAACTCAGTTCCAATCCATTTAAGCCTCCAGTTTTATTTTCTCCCCAACCAGTTTAAGCTTCCCCCAAGGGTCTGGTACCTCTCTTCTGATTCTAAATTCCCTAGTGCTGGAGCAAGAAGGAAAGATTTGGGGGAGGAGGGAGGCAAGCCACTCTTAAGTGGGTTTGCTTTGCAGAGCTCTGGTGGGTTTCTCATCATTGCTCTTTGGCTAACACTGACCATCAACATCCTCTGCATGGCAGGTGGCCACTAGGTGCTCTCTCACAGGAATGGTGTGTGAGTGCTTGGGGTGTCCTATGGGGACCCCACTGCACAGTTCTCTAGTATGGGACATCTGACTCTATTCTAGCTTGACTTGTCAAGGCTCCCTAAGAATGTCCCCAGTATCCACTGCTGGGGTGGTCAGTTTCTTGGATAGTAACAACAAACCTTCCCTGCTAGGCTGTTAATTTCAACTCTCATTGAGTCTCTCTTCCTTCTTTCTTTTCCTTTCTCCAGTTATTTCCTTGTGTCAGCCAAGGAGTTTCCTGAAACTGGGGTGATTGTTCAGGGTAGCAGGGTTGGTTCAGCCACCTTTTAATAAGTCCTGGAGAATTCCCCTAGCCCCAATATTTTGGTAATTCTCTATAGAATATGAAGGTATTTAATACCTTTGAGCCTCTTCTTTGGGTCCTAGCCTCCAAGTTTACACATATATAACATCCGGTTATTTGCAACTTCTGCTAAACTTCATTTTGCAAATCCTGAGTTGTCATTCACCTTTGCAACTACTTTGTAATAACACTGAATTAAGTGTTATGTGAATAAAAACTGAGTTAAGTAGCTAAAAATGGGTTGGTCGATGTAAAAATAAAACACGAAAGTCTGATGCAGTTCAGATTCTAATGCAAATAATGAACTACACAGTAATGTTAAAATAGAGGACATTTAAACCTCAAATTGGAAAATCCAATGGGGAGTAGATGAATAGGAAAGAGGAAGGAAAAAGGGAACTTTAAAATGAAGGAGTAAATATAATCCCAGAAGAAAAGAGAGATAAAAGGGCTGAAATATTTGAAAATATAATTGCCTTGACCTTTGATTGATCCCGACTAGGAAAAAAAAACAGCTACAGATGATGTTTTGGGTACATTTGGAGAATGTTAATATGGATTATATATTAGGTAATATAATTTTATCAATGTTAGATTTCTTGAGGGTAATGATACTGTGACTTTGCACAACAATGTCCTTGTTTTTGGAGATGCATGCTGAAGTATCAAGGGGTGCAGTTTCATGATGTCTGCAAATGATTCTGGAGGAAAAATAAAATGTCTTTCCAATGATCCACCTAAAATTAAAAAAAAAAGTGTTGTGAATGAGTGAGTGGGAATAGAGAGAAAGACAAAAACCAAGTGTATTAGCTTTTAGTGCATTGAGGTCTGGGGTATTCTGGAAGATATGGACATGGACCACTGAGCTCTCCCTTCAAGAGAGAACCTGCCCAGCAGCAGGGAGAGTGGTCAGCAGACAGCCTCCAGCTGTCAGCATCTCTGGGGCCTGCCTCCACTGCAGAGAGCTCTCACTGGAGCATGCTCCTCCCGGGGCAGCTACAGCCACTGTCAGAGGTGGCATACACAGCCTACTCATATCTGCCCGGCCCCGGATACTCTGGTAGCATAAACTGTGCCAGAGCTCCCCAGCAGGTTCATAGAGGCTTCGTCAAGCCCCACCACAGTTTGACCCCTCTTCTGCCCAGCGCTGCTTCCTCATCCCTCCTTTCACAGTATTGATCCCTAATAAACACTGTGCAACGATCACTCCCCAAAAAAGGAGCAAGGAGAATCTCAAAAATGAGAACACTGCATAGTGACAGAAAACTAACATGTTTGAGATTAAAATCTGAATCCCTGATGCGCAGACTAATCTTTTTGCTGCTCACAAATCAGAGTCATATAGATTTCCATTAATATTTATCTCCTTGAATCCAAAGGAAGAGGAAAACCCATGTTGTATTTTGCCCAGTTTTGCTATTTCCATCATGAATTTCACTGAAGGATCACGTCAAGTTGGTGAGGTGCCAGCTGTCCTTAATAAGAGACATGGTCCATGTACGGTATGCATGCAGAGCAGCTCAAGTCTTAGAAGAGAGTTACTTCAAAAACCAAGAACTGCAAATTTATCTAAGATTTCAACTAAAAGCCAAAGGACTGGAATAATCCATACAAAATTTTAAACCCAGAAGTTTCTCTTGCTTAAATTACTTTCACACTCCATTTTAAACTCAGAAACATTATGCTGCTGTCACACTTCTTTGTTCTCCTAAAGTAAAAAAATAAATCTGTATATAGCTGACAAAAAATAGGAACCTGTCTGCCAGCACATTCTCTATTCATGTCTAACATAATGTAGAGTCTATGCAGAACACATGGTCTTTAAACACCCAAAAGCCTCCTCTTGACTGGCTTACCACAGCAGTATGTTTCTCCAGCATGTTTGCGCTACCTACAATACATGTCTTGAATAAGCATGAATTCCTTTGGATGTTTAAGTCATGCAGTATTTTCACATGCTTTGATGTTGTGCATATGAGAATTATCATCTACATTTTGGGAGTACAGTTCCTTGTGCCTTCAGCACTGAATTTAAAACTGCTCGACTGACATCATTTTAAATTCCACCCAACAGAATGCCAATAATGTCTACAACAGAAGTTTGACAGATTTAGTTCTCTCAAATATGGAGTTGATTTAGCAGCTAAATTGAAAATTTCTGGGTGCATTTTTGAAAACTAATTCAGCGTGAAATTATTAATGATTTAGAATTATGCATAAGGTATTTTGGGTTTCCTTATTTTCTTATCCAGAAAGATCTGTTGCTTTGTATCAGATAAATTTCCAAGCGGCAAGATAACGTTCTGTTGTTGGAACACAAAGTAAACAGCTTAAATTAATCCTAGTGTGATTTTTTTAAAATTACAGATGAGACCCATTGGCCATGATGGCTACCATCCCACCTCCGTTGCCGAGTGGCTGGATTCCATTGAACTAGGTGACTACACCAAAGCCTTTCTAATTAATGGCTACACATCGATGGACCTGTTGAAAAAAATCTGGGAGGTTGAACTTATAAATGTAAGTTGGTCTCTTAAAGACACCTTAGCCATTCAACTCTTGGTAATTCCTATTGTAGGTAGGTAATTTTTCTTTCTTTGTGACTGTTTGGCCATCCAACAGGATTTACAGATACACCTTCTCTTTTGAATAGAAGTCTCTCTTGGTTCTAGTCAAGCTCCACTATCACTGTCTTTCGGAGTTTTAGTGTGGGAACTCAGAAGACTCTCAGGGTGTTTTATATTACCTCAAAAACCTTCCCAACACTTTTAGGCTTTCCATTTTTGGAAATTTTTATCACTTTAGGGTATGGACATGATAACAAACATGCTCCCGTTCTATTCTTTGTTCTTATTCATTGCCAAAGATTAAAGTTACCATTTTTAGTTTTCTATCTCTGTTATGTTTCCTTGTCTCTATTCCTTAACTGTGTATATAAACCCCCTACTTGAAGAAACCACTTTTGTTCTTATTATATAAGCTGCTGTAATAGCAACATTTTATTTTCCAGAGCTTATATTTAATCTTAAGTTGTTTGTTTTATTCATACACTTGGCATAGACTTTCTAGAAAAACTGGCCAACATACGTTGCTAGGTATTCAAGCCTAAAGAGATCAACTAAATCTGCTTAACTGATTTTGATACTGATAATTTTCTTATTTTATTTTAATGCTATTTTATTTCTGTGGCATGAAGGAGTGAAAAGGATGAAAAAATAACATAATTATCTTGCCTTTATATTTTATTTGGCATCATCAACATTTCTTTTCAAAAGTGAGTAAGAAATTATTTAACCTTTTAGAGAATTTCTTAGATTTAAGTTTTATATTCTAATAACTGGAAAAATTCATAAACTGAAAGACAAAGCAAGTAAATTTCTGCTGATACAAAAGCACTCTGTTCCACTCTTTATGCCATTTTCTCTCCAAAAGTCTGGTCTCCATGCACTGTATGTCATTAATTATTTTAAATGATGGTTATTAGTAGTAGCTAATTATTCTTTGCTTTTAAAAGTCTCTCTTAAAGATAATATCTATTCTAGAACATCTATAAAAACTGTTCTTTAATCTAAAAATCACTTTAAATGGACAAATTCTTAGCCACTTCTTCTAATTTGCCATCAGCTACTTTTAGCTTTCTGTTCTTATCCTTTCACAGAAGCTTTCATTATAGCAGAAGGAACTCATTGTCTGACTACAAGCCTCTGATTAATTTTGTTGTTAGTCTGTGTGGCCATGGAACCAATTGCTTTTTAGTTGCATCAGGGAGATTGCAGTTCTTCACTGAGAACTCGACACTCATGGCCACTCTTTGCCATTTATTAAAGGGGGCTCCTCCATAGATCAAACATGCTTCCAATTAAGTTGCTTTCTAGACAGTGATAAATATCTCTATGTAACATCTTTTGCCTAATATTGCTCCCCACCTAAGAACAAATACTTTGGGTAGATAGCACATGAGTCACACACCTAACTAGCATTATCAGGAATTCCTCATTGAAAAGAACAGATTCCACTAGAATTTCACTATAAAATGTTTTCATTGAAACAAGGATCACTAAAGCAAGACTATGTGTCTCTCAAAATTCAAAAACTGGGGCTAATATTTAAAGTGCAGTCTTGGACCCACACTTTTCCCAGTGCTATGTGTGCCAGCAGAACTGGAGATTCCCCATTGAGTGACTGCAGCCAGGCCTTGAGGTTGAGGTGACTGCAGGGCAGTGACAAGGTAAAGCCCCAGGTCTAATGCCAGGGCTCAGGGTGTTAAACCACCATCCACAGGGCTTTGTCACAGGTGCTGTATCAGAACTAGAAAACATAGTCACTGTGTTTTAGACCTTGAGGCCAAATTCCTCAGGCCTGGAGAACAATACCTGCATCTCACACCAACCCAGTATTATTTTCCTTAAAGTAAACTAATAGAATTTAAAGTTTGTGACGTCTTTATGGGCAAGTTCCCACTCTTGATGAGGAGGCTTTGCAAGTTGTTTAACTCCATAAATATCCTTATCATGGGCAACAACAACCTGTACCTTTAGACTTGGAAATCAGAGAACAAAATTTGTATGCTCTTTAGAGCTGCCTCAAGAGTAGTTCATGTGATGGTTTGGGGTTATTGGGTTTTAAAATGATAGGCAGGCACAACGTGTGCCTTCTGGCTTACAAAGCTTTCGACTGGTCTCAAATTCAAGACTTTTATTTTTCCCAGCTAATGAGGAAAGGTATCCAAATGTAAGGTAATCTCATATGTAATATATGGGTCTTGACTGTATTAAGTACCCAAAATTTATTTTTTATAGCTTAAAGGGAGCATACAGCCACTTTGCTTTAGAGCAAAGCTTTTTGGGAACATCCCATCCTGAATCTTTTTAATGAATGGCTAGTTTTAAGGAAACCAAATGGCTCCAATAACTCTTACTGTATGTAGAGTGAGGAGAGAAGTAGAAGTGTAGGCTGTCTCTGACACAGAGGATGAGGATGCCGACTGCTGGTGTGACTACTAATGACTTCAGTCTCATTAAACAGTACTGATGAAGCCTCCAATCTCACATGGTGCTGTGCTTGATATTAGACAACTAGTAATACATTTTCAGTGAGTATACATTTATTCAAAGTATTTTCATGGGGAAATAAAAACCAGACACAGTTGTGACTTGAAAAGTAGAAGTACATTTGAAATTGTAACCTTTCAAAAAGTCCCTAAAGATCTTTTTCTTGGTGGAGCACGTGAACGCCTTTGAAAAACAAGGTTATTTGAATGGCCTAATAAAGCTTTGGGTCACAAAGCTACCCAAAGTATAGGGATAGGAGAGAGTAGTGGAGATCTCATATCTTAATAGCAACGTTGTCAGCAGTGGACATCACGCCTAAACTTTTAAGACACCAGGTAGTGCCAGTTTTACAGGCCCGTGTGTGTCTAGACTTAGAAAATGAAATCTTTGCCAATAATTGCTCCCTGTATCCCTAATCTATGCTTCATAGTCAGAAGCTGATGTTTTATCAATAGCTCTGTTTTGCCTCTGTGCCTGCAGCCACCATTAATAGCATCATTAATACTGCTCTCACTTCTGTATTGATATTTCAGTGTTCTGTGAATATGTTTAGAGGGACTGTCAGGCAGGTTGTTTTCTCTGCAGATGCAGAGGGAACCTGAATCTCTAGCCTGAATTATAGATCTTTCCAAAGGCGTGTTAAGAGAATTAAAAACTAGTTAGCAGTGTGTAAGTACATGAGTTTTTTTTGGTTTGGGGTTTTTTTGTTTTTTTATTTTACTCACAAAGTTACTCAGGACTTGCATATGGTATTACCTAGTTTACACAGCAGTCCCTACTGCTATTGAAAAATCTCAGCAGCTCTGCATGGGGGAAGTTTTAAATACAAGGAGATTTTAACTGAATTCGTATCTTCTGCATTAAGTATGTATGGATAATTATGAAAGCTCCATGAAATTATCCATTTCCTAAACAACAACAAAAAAGTATTACAATTATGAAAAACAGTGTCCATTTATTTTATCACTGTGTACCTACTAAGGGGATTTTGATTGGATGAAATAAATTTGAACACTGTCCAATTTATTAATTTGTGAATCTCAATGTAGAATATATTATTAATTTCTTCCCATTTGTTTTACCATTCATTTTTTACCAAGGAAATAATTCTAGTTCAGGTAGGCTTGTGATCGCCTACAATACTGATAATGATAAAAGTACCCACTGAGAGAACAAAATAGAATTCAGGTTTCAATGCATTCTTAAATCTCTGCTCATAAGTACAAGAATAGCTTTAAAAATCTAACTACGGCAGTTGGTTGTGTTTTAAATACCTTTGGGTAGAAACAAATTAAATAATTAAGATATAATTAAAGTAGCAATACCCATATGTGTCCCATGAAAATCATTTGGACTTACTTTTGCAACAGTAAATTGATTAGCAGATCATTTGCTTCTTGCTTAATAGCTGCTGAAACTGTACTTATATCACTCTTTTGCTTAGGGCTGTCAGATTTCTTTTTTGTTTTTGTTTTGTTTAGTTTTGCAATGTTGTGGATTGAATTTCTACCTTTCCAGGGAAATTTTGTGATGATCTCACTTGGAGATGTACTAAGAAATTTTCAAAGTTAACATTCTAATTTTGTGTTAAATCTTTAATAGTGTGACTACATTTGCTTTAAATGCTATAGAAATATTGCCCTATCAGTATCAAATTTAGACTTATTACTTGCTTTGATGTTTTTATTTCATTATCAGCATCATAAAGTCACACTCCTCTCTACCCTACCCTGATTGCCATAACTGCAATCAAATTTACTCCCTAAAAGTTTTTTTTTTTGCATTGTGTATGTGAATGTGAGTGTGTGTGTGTGTGTATTGGATAAATGCATATAGTAACTTATACTCCCAACCAAGAAGAATAGTCACCAAATCCACAAATTGCAGGGGAGAAATGGGGAGGAGAATATTATAATTCCATTTCCAAGTCAATTATTTTAAGTAAAAGGTTATGCTTTCACTATAGGACATTAATAAATGAGAATAATATTCATATTTCCACACCAGGGAGGCTACATCAGTCACCACTTCAAATGTTAACAACTTTAATCAAAGCCAAAGGCTTTAACTAAATAACTGGATATGAGTATTCAAGTGTAGAGCAAACTTTATAAATTATCTGTGGATGTAAGCATTTAATTTATACTTGTAGACAAAACAGCTGGCTCTTCATAAACCTTCAGGACAGCTAGACACAACCTCTGAGCTTCAGACCTTTTCAGACATGCATCAGGTAAAGCCCCTGGACTCCACCTCTCCCACTCACTGCATCTAAATTGCAAGCTCTTCAGGGGATTCTCTGGAAGCTTCCCTCACTTGGCCCAAGTTTTGGAAAAAACACCCTTCTCCCTTTCTCATATAAGATGAACAATCCTCTTCCAAATGAATACTCACTTTCAAGTGATTTTCAGCCCTTTCACATATGGCGTTAAGGTTGATGATGGGCTAAAACTGGTATTAATGATTCCA